CTGCAGTGTCTGATAGTAAAGTCGTATTCCTGCTGCTGCTGGGCGGTGCTGTTAGCCGCACTTCCTTTCTGAGACCGTTCACCTTCCCTTCCCAGGGTGTGCTTAGGGCAGCTGGACCGAAGATGGCCCCTTTCCCCACAGCCATAGCACCTACGGCTGTATCTTTTATTGTGGTCGCGAACCGTAAATGCTGTAACCTCCCTAGCGTGAGGTGAACGATGATCCTGTCGCCGCCAGGCAGTGCCGTTAGCTGCACTACCCTCTCGAGATCGATCAACTCTCCTTTCCACGGTTCGCTTAGGGCAGCTGGATCGAAGATGGCCTTTTTCCCCACAGCCATAGCACCTAGGGCTGTATCCTTTGTTGCGGTCGCGAACTGTAGCTACTGCAACCTCCCTAACGTGATGGGAGCGATGATCCTGCCGCACGGCTTCTACCTCCAGTGCATGGCCCAAGGCGTTCTTAAGCGTCTCGTGGTGCCCGAGCCTCACAGACTTCCCGGAGCGTCGTATCTGCAGTCTGCGAACATGTTCAAGATCGTCCCCACCATTACACATTAGATTTGATAAACCACAAATTCTCGCAAAAGAACACCGATTCCTACCAAGGATGATACGCGAGGCTATTGAAATTAAAAAACATCCAAATTTCAATAGAGAAGATGGTTGGGTGCTACCATCTGCTTAGGATCCTATAATTAACAAAATTAAACCCAAACCCAAGCATACCACTGCAAGACTTCATGATACTATAAGCTCGTTTTGCGTAAATCGGACCAAAAATTAATATTAAAAAACTGAAGGTAGCCGGACTAACTATGACATTGGGACGTCAAACATCTCAGTGCCCCCGTGACCATGGGCGCTGTAAAGCACCCGAAACGTCGGAATTAAAAATAAGTAAAAGTAGTGAAATAAACGCGATAAAATCCGTAAATTTAGTTTTATTCAATTATACTATAAAGTTATTTAAAAAATGTCTTTGCTCTGAGTTCAATTATAAAATCCGAAATAGTTATTTATAAGAATGTCACTTACAGGAACAATGATGGAGTGGTGATTAGGCTTGCGTTCATGTTTATTATGCGTCGGAGACAGAGACCATCGTATGCCAACAAGGATGGTGGTGATGAGCAGGGGTCGCCCGATGGTGAGTAGGACGTTGGATAATGCAGAGAGCCTGTTCTTATGACAGGCTGGGTGTCGATTTTCTTGATGCACTTTCACTTTCTTTATACTTTAATTCACTTTTGATTTAATTGCGATTGTAAAGGTTCAATTTATTGACTTTTTGAACAGAGTTGTTAGGAAACGTATTCGGGTAGGATTTTCGTATCCCACCGATACCACCAATATTATATGGGACCGTAAATAGAGCTTTTAAAAACTATTTATTACACGACACAATATAATTGAATTAAATTAACAATAAAGAATTAGTAAACTTATAGTAATAAATGGGACTTTAAAGATTTTATAAGGATATAGTAACGACTTAGTAACGATGACTGAGACTGGAATGAGACTTGTAAATTGACTGTAGACTGCATGTAGACTAACTGGCGTTTTTTTTTTGCGCCCGAAGCAATTAAAGGGCTACCCTATACGTAGGGAGGCGGAAAATGCATTACGCATACCACGATAGCCGGTCTATCGTGGTTATGAGGGACTCACTGTCCTACCGGGGACCCTAAGTGATACCCTCTAAAAACCACCTTTGGGGACAGGCAGCCGGCTGATTAAGCTGTATTGTGCCTTATCGTGAGCGACCCTCTTTTGGGAAAAGAGGGCGCAGGCGGCTACGAGCCGCTGAGGGAGTGCCTACGAAGGCAAATTAATATTCGTTAATACGATAATTTAATTTAATTAGAGTTGGCCTGAGCCGCCAGGAGGCTTCAGAGGTTCAGGTCGTTTGTCAGTTTATTAGACGGGTCCGAGAGAGAGTTTCTCGGCCTGCGGACTCGATAGCGAGAGGGGGCTGGGGCTGCATATGTAGCTGCCTCACGAATTAATTGGTTTGGGTGCGACTTTGAGGCTTTGAAGAAGTTCTCAGAGAGTTTTTTAAGAAATTGTTGAATTATTGGGAGCTCTAGGTCCCGATGAAGGTCGGCATTACGGACGTACCAAGGTGCGTTCGCAGCTCGACGACAGAAAAGGTTTTGAACTATTTGGAGTTCATTAATAATATTAGGGTTTGCGTGGGCAAAGACGGGGCCCGCGTAGGACATGACTGGTCGTATACAGACCTTATAGAGGGTACGCTTGTTTCGAAGGGACATTTTACTGTGTCGGCCCAACATACTGTTGAGCCTACTCAGATAAAACCGTGCGTGACGGGTTACTCTTTTGACGTGGGGCCTGAAAGTGAGCCCTGTGTCCAGAGTGACACCTAAATATTTGGCGGTCGTATGCCAGGGGACAGGGGTCCCCCCCGAACGGGTTCCCGCCTTGTTGTGGCGGGGGGCTTAGAAGCCGTGGCTTGGTCACCCACGGCGAAACAAAGAGGAACCCATATGGCTGGTCCGAGGTGGAGGGCCGGCCCGAGGTGGCCACTCCGAGTGGGCTTGGGAAGCCCACTTCGGATGTGTGTTGGTGGACTGCGGTGAGAGGTGTGTCCTCCCCACCTACCGCTGCAGCCGATGTGGAGTCGCGGAGGAAGAGGAGTGTTGGTATGGCGATGCGCTACTCGCCCTATCCTCCGCGACTCAAACGGGGCCGCACCGTTGCGGTGGTGATGGGGCTGCGGGGGGAGAGGATTGTCGGTATTGCGAGACGCCGCTCTCCCTATCCTCCGCAGTCGAATCTTGGTTGGCGGCGGAGCCATAGACCAGATCCGCCGCTGGGGTCGGGAAGGCTAGTACTTCTAAGTGCTCGTTTTTCCTGGCCCCATGGCCTTCGCGCATCGGACGCGGGGGCGTCTGTTGCGCAGATGTAATTGGAGGCCGTGGAGGAAGGCGTGCCATGTGTTCTGGTGCGCCTTACTTGGGAAGGAGAACGGGGAGGAATATTCCTCTCCCGATGAGGTGCTGCCATGGGGCGGCAGTCGCTGGTGGGGCCGCGGATGTGTGCGAAAGCGTTCCCGTAGCCCTGCCAATATGCGACGAAGGTGGAACACCATGGGGTTTTAGTCGGTGCGAGTCCGACATAACCCGTCCTTGCCCCCGCGAGGCGGGTATGCGTAGGCATTTCCCCATGTTAAAAAAAAAAAAGGGGACAGGGGTCCCTAGCATACGTATTGGTGGAGTGTTTTTGAGACGGCGTTGTTTATAGTCGAAGTGAACGGCGGAGCTCTTCTCCGGGTTCACATCGATGCGCCATTTTTTGAACCAAGCTCCCAGGTCATCAACTGACTTTTTGATCTTGTTCCGTATGAAGGGCAGTGAGACACCCCTGCAGTATATAGCAGTGTCGTCTGCGAAGAGGGAGAGCTGAACACCTATCGACGGGATGGGAATGTCGTTGGTGAACAGGATGTACAGCAGAGGAGCAAGTACTGAGCCCTGTGGACACCAGCCTTGATAGTTCGTTGTGAGGATAGCGTGCCTTCGTGTCTAAAACGAAAGGTACGATACTCTAGGTAAGAGGCCACGAGACGTACTAGGCGATCGGGGAGACCTATTTTGTATAGTTTGTAGATAAGGCCTGTATGCCAGACCCTATCGAAAGCTTTAGCTATGTCGAAAAAGACCGCGATGGTCTTATGACGACGAGGATAGAAACCGCTGAGGATATATTCCACAATGCGGTGAACTTGTTGGGGACATGAGTGTTGGGCTCGAAACCCGAATTGATGGGGAATGATAAGAGGGTCACCGTCTGTGGGATACAGATAGCGCCTCATACGTGATTGGATGACTCTTTCGAAGAGCTTGCCCATTGCCTTGAGGAGGCTACTAACTGGCGTTCATCGGGAGATCGGTTATATAGGCCTTATGTCGCTGACGCAGCAGCGTGAAAGAGATGCATTAACCGATCTCCTAACAATGATGGGGTATAACAGTACACACCGGTGGAAGCTTACGAATTCTGAACCATGTTCCTTACGGGAAGAATGGGATTTGCATCCTAGTATAAAACAAATAATTTCTATTGATATATTTTATTTCAAGATATAATTTTATAATAATATTTTTAGTAAAATGTTAAAGACAACAGACGTCAAACATCACAATATATAATACGACTTGATTAAAATTACATTTGTCAAATAAATCAGCCAGTACGATCTTGGACAAAATAAATACAATCTTATTAAATTTTTTGTTGGCATTCCTTTTTCTACGCATGAATTATACGCAACATCCTTGAATGTATTTGTCACTTTTTGACTACTCTCTATGCATACATATGTATGTAATTACTCTAAGATACAAGCGCACGCATTACCGACTTTTTTCTGTGACTGATTTTAAAAACGTAATTTGCTACATTTGGATCGCGGCGCACTTACAGCGCGATTTTTATGTGTCCCAAAGTAATACTATGACTAGGCGAGCGCAGAGAAAACTCATTATTTGCGGTGCTAATTAGTAGCAAAAGTATCCTTTCAGATTTATTTTAACTGTTAGATGTACCCAGTACTTAAGTCGGCGCCGTTGTTTACGTTTTCTATTTCTTAACTTAAAAACCAAAAAATTGGGATTACTAGAGGATGAAGCATTGCTGAAATTAGAATTTGAACAGCTAGTATACAATTCCTGCTGCTAACATTGAGCCTAAGTTAGCCTTAGTGTTTATTTAATAGATCTCTAAGATCTATGGAATAAATACTCTTTGGTCAACTCAAATGTTCGATTGGTATAATTTTATATTTATCAAAGATTATATCCGTACCGTATATCTATAGCGGTTTTTAATAAGTTGGTAACACCAAAAACTTCAGAAATCAGATTCAGAATCAGAATCAGAAATCGAAGGCCAAGGATAAAAATGGGATCGCGCAAAACAAAAATACTTGTTGTTTATAATTTATTTATATAAAGCAAACACATTTTTTACAATATGGGTACGCAAAAACCTGGAGAATGGGCGAATTCACTAATAGCACGATTTGAAGAGCAGGTAAGCTTAGTATTGACTTTTCAATTTAAATTCGTGTACCACCCTTAGATGAGAATAGTATTGAATAAAATAAATATTGCTGAATTTATCACAATTCTATATTTTTTACTGTATCTGTTTCATAACATTGTTTTAATCGTTTAAGATACCTTCTTGATATTTCGTATTTCTGTTTATATTAGAAATTGTCGCGTACGCAGTTTCTGTTGAATTTATTCATAAGTTTAAAATATTGCTGGTGGGTATATATTTTATATTCGTCTAAAATTAGAACCTCATTTTTAATTTTTGAATATATTTATGTACTTGGAATTTCAAGGAATTTACTGGCTGCAGACTCAACCGATGATGGTGTCTGACAGCACTTCGCGACATGAAAATATTTCTCTCTGCAGGCAAACGGCGCTGGGCGCGTGCGGCCCGTGATAGAATTCACCATTCTTTCATCATTTAGCATTTTTGTTTTAGTCTCTACATGTCTAGGAGTTCATCTGCATTGATATTACCTTGCTGAGCTCCAGTTTGTGGAATAAGAGAGCCAGTATAATTACAAGCTGTGAGCTCTCTTCGAAAATCGTATCATAATTTTATAATAATAACCTGAACTGTCTGATGTGTAGTTGACTGTATTATTTCAAGTAAACCAATTCACCATCACTTAATTATATTATTATACTAGCTGCACCCCGCGGTTTTACTTGTGCTTTATTATGTTTTATACAGATACTTCCCAATATACTTCTTTATTTCAATTGAATTTTGTTCACAATTTCATTGGTTTAAATTTTTATGCTCGGAACATCTAATTATTCTAAAATGAAAGTAGCGCAAGTCTAAAATAAAAGACATCGACCATCTGCCAGCAAAAGTCCCATTAAAATCAGCCCCTTGTTTCTGAGATTAGCCGCAATAAACAGACAGACAGACAGAATTTTAGAGAATTTTAAAAATTTACTTATTGTTATTAGTAGGTATGTATTTAGTAAAAATTTTGATATTACAAACAGACCCTTAAATTTTATTTATTTGTACCTATAGAAGATAGATACTTACAAATTCGGCATTTGCTTAGCTGAGAATAAGTGCCTATGTGATGACATCTGAGATGATTTTTAAAACTAGTAGTATTCCCACTAGTTTAACCATCTGTTTACACTTTTACATCGTCAAACTATGTCTCATTTAATAAAAAGCCAAGAAGTTTGATTTGGTTGGCAGGGCCGTATTAAAAGGTATTTAAAATAATAGTTTACGCTCACAGAACAGCTCAACTATTCATATTGCAATAATATGAAAAATGAAAGATCATAGAACACTAACATAGGTACTTTTTTTCTTTTCTTTATTTTTTTTTTTTTTTTTTTTTTTTTTTTTTTTCTTCCTCCTCCCAGAGGTGGGGGGTTCCGTGTGATTGGGGCTCTGGGGTGGTGGTTGGTGTCGCGGCTCGACTTTATTTGTGGTTTGTTTTGGGGGCCCAGGGTTTGGTTTGTGTGTTTGGTTCTACACCTTTTTTTTGCCTTTTTTTTTGGTTTAATCCCTCTGGCTGGTTAGTTTTATTTAATTGTATCTTAAATTTCTTATTAAATACATATTGTTTAAGAATCTGAAGCTTCTTAATAGTAGTGGCTTCAATTGTTTTTGGTCCACCACACCACAGTACTGTATGTGATCATGGGCCGCATCACGATTTTGTAATTAATAAACTTAATTTTTGGCATCAGACCCCATCATTTATCAATCATGTTTTTGCATTTCCAGAAAGTTATACTAGCCTTATTAATATTGTTTTCTATGTATTTATTCTAGTTCAGTTTAATGTCCTAAATCTTTTACTTCGGAGGATAGCTGGAGTTTAGTGCTGAAAAGACTTGTGAGGTTTTTTTTTTTTTTGGACCCCCTGTGGTTTGGGTCCTCTTATCTCTGGTTCCCGGCCTTGTTTATCTGTTCTTCCTCTCCTTTTCGTTTTTTTTTTGGGCTTCTTCCGCCGCCCCTTCTCTCTATGCAGATGGTCTCACGATTGGTGAATGGGGAGGAAAGTTATTCAGCATTTGTTTTTGTGTGAACATTACTAGAACCGTTTTATTTGGGTTAATGGTTAAGTTATATTCCCTGCACCATCTCCACTATATGGAGAGCCTCTGAGGTCAGGTCGTACACCATGCCTGCTGTCTTTCTGGAGACCAATATACATGCTCTAGGTTTGCCGTGCTCAGAGTTGTAGAATAACTTACCTTTTAGGTTGTTTAGGCCTTTGATTATACCAGCCCTAACCCACGACTCTTGGATTAGGGCTATGGCTGTTCATTGTGCCTCCAACCATTTGCATAATTGAGCTGATGCAGTTTCGCTGTGGTGGAGGTTGGCTTGCATGAGGCTAGTTCTTGACAAAGAGCACACCATCATTGATCGCGCCCTCCTCGTCCCCATCCAAAACTAAGAATGTCAGCAGATCTCGGGTCTCGTCATCAGCACTGAGTCAGGGTTGGATGGCAAAGTGGAGCTCTCCCCGTCACTCAGTGAACTGCTGCTGAGCTTGATCTCTACTGGTGGCTCAGTTGTGCGGCCGTTTTGTCACTGGTCTTGGGATCCAGTGATTCTGCTGCCCCAGTGTCAATGGCACCAGTATCCAGGACTCCCGGGTTGCTTTCCGCCTCTTTGCTCGGTGAAATATCATAAAATTTTCCTCCGCAACCCTGGAATTTTACATAGACCGCCTCACATAAACATGCGAGTTGGCGTCCGGCATTCAGTATGGGTCGGGATATAAATCTTCCACGAATAGTTGCTCATCGTTTTGGTGCCGCAAAACGACGAGGAGCCACCCGTTCGTGTGTTTGTCGGCCTTGAGCAACAGCCAATCATTTATGTTTACCCAGCGGTTTTGGTACGCCAGCACATGACCAATGTCGCGTGATTCTTTCCAGGCCCCCTGGATCTGTGATTAGGATACCACATTTTACCCTTTGTGGTATCTCCGACTGTTTTTTGATGACCAGCCAGGTGTTGGATTTACGTTGTTATACGCTGGATGACGTGTTCTGTAGAACCGACATTTTACTGGCGGTTTCTCCTTGTTTATTTATTTATTTTATTTAACAATTTATGTATAGGTCGTGCCATGTAAGATGAAATTAAGTAGAGTCCACTGCGCATGTACAATCAAATAGAAAAATGAAAATTTTATTATGGCATTTTTATATGTAAAAAGTCAAAGGTCAACATTATAACTTCACATCAAAGTCTCCACGAAAACGAACGATATATTTTTATCATCGTTAGGTTTTAACTGCTTCTAAATAATATTCTGCATTTTATGTACACTTAGTTAAAGAAATAAAATTTTTTGTATTTGTAATTGCTGTTTAAACTATACTATGCTTTCGATTATAAGGATATTTTACATGCAATAATTTGCAAAAAAAATCATCTTGTAGAAAATAACAAAATATTTACAACTTTATACAATATACTACGAACTACGCTATTTTAAATAGTCCCAAAATAATTTATAAAGTAATAAATATTTGCACACTATTTGAAAATATTATAGAACAATATTTTTAAAAGTACAAAAATAATCGCAAAAATTTAAAATTTTATAAGAGGTAGTCGCTAACACTTTCGATATCGATAGTACACAAGACGACACGAGAAGGTGCGCGGGCGACGGGACGCAGGGAGAAACTACTTGGGAGTAGCGTGTCGCCCGTTGCTATGGTTTCGCTTCCCCGTACCTCACACCTCACCTCGCCGACACCTATTCTTCGGTTCTGCGCACTTCCATGACTCGTGGCGTTACCTACACACAAAGTAATGTTACAATGAAAAAGAAAGATATTTTGTACAAGGGCACTGCTTTCATATTGAAATTCCTTCCAGCAGGGCTGACACTGGACAGTTTCAAAGAGTAGCAGATTTAGTGTGCACTCTCATAAAATTTCATAATATTAATAAACTTACAAAATTATGTGTTGCTAACTTTTGTAATATGTGCATTCCATGTCAACTTGCAATCCATTTATTGGTGCCTTTGGTGGTCACCTATGACACTTCTTTTATGTTGGCCCTTGTTTCGTCCCCTGGCTTCCCACCTTCCATAGCGCCGACACCTTTGGGAATGCCTTACTTTAAAATAATAAAATTTCAGGCGTAAAGATTACCATGGGAGTATAAGAACACGAAGTTGTCTCACCGCGCGACATCGGAAGCTCGATCCAGATGCCAGATAGGGTTGAAAAGGCCCATCCCCACTGCCTGAATGACTGTCACTTGCTGTCAGTTGGCGTTTACCACAAGAGCTAGGTAGCCCTTTTCAGGAAACAAGGCAGCACTCACGTCTCTGGCCTGCGACCCTCTGACGGGGTGCTTGGCCATTTCACTATCTGTGACTAGCAGATAAAGCCACCATTTGGCTTGAAATCCGGACCAAAGACGGCTTGTTGCCTCTCAACACTATATGCCCCAGTGACGATTGGCTCAACCCCGTAGGACTCCCTCATCACCGCGTACGGCGCTCGACTGTGCAGGTCCTAGCGCAGATGGGTGTGTTAGTCCACCAGATACACCTACTCTCTCCTTTGAATTGCCGCTTCAAGATCACCAGTAAAATTTTGAGTGAGTCTTGGTGTTGGGTTAATTAACCACCGGCTAAGGATTGGCGTTGACTCCTTTTTACGGCTGTATTTGTCTCTTCTAGCCAACCCTCATCTTTTATCAGGGCTTGAGACCAGCTGCACCAAAAAGCACAGGCAGGGTTTATAATATTTGCATCTTTATGTACATAAATTATATATAATGTTAATTTCAGCTTCCTTACAAAACTGGCGCACAGAATCTGCATTCACGCATCAATGAGGAACAATGTAAAGCATGTCTGGTGCAGATCAGTCGACACCGATTTTCGCTCGTCATTGCTGGACTCACAAAAATTTTACAACGCGTGAATGAATTGGTAAATTTCCTTTTTCTTATAAAAAAAAGTGACGGTAACTTACAAACAGTTCACCTGATGGTAAATGGAGGCAGTTGCCTCTAGATATAGATATACTTGTTATCATCTCTAAGGGCTTAAGTAGAATGCCTTGTTATAAATAAAAGGGCGCTCTACTCGTAGTATCGCTATATTCACTTACTCATTCTTTTCATGCAAAATAATCATGGCAACATTATGTATATTGTTAAAAATTTGTGCTTAATAAGTTGGTGCCTAAATAGTTGATCATAAATTTAATTACTCCAACTTATGTTACTTTTGCCCTTTACATGTTTTTCTTCTTTGCCATGTAGTGTGGATGCATAACATTAATTTTAACATTTATTATTAAAACTTAAAAGCAATACTGCACTAACCAGTATGTGTCCAGCATGTGAATCTGAGACGTGGCCCTCTACTGCTGGCTATATGAGGCAGTTTGAGCTATGAAAATATCTGTAAGTTGAAGTCTGCAATGAGCGAGACCGAGATGTTTATAACATCTCATCCTTGGTAGTTTCCTCTCACAGCCAACTTGGAATGGTCAATAATGCAACATCTGCAGTCACCTGTACTGGTCAACTCTATTCGAGCAGGGGCGCAAATGAAACATGCAACTCAATGTAATCTAGTGAGAATGAGCCAAAAAGCATCACGGCAATTCAGTAGATTTGGAACAATATCAAAAAACCCCCTGTTTTGGGGAGCGAGATAGTCGTGAGACTCAATTAAAGTTTTGCACCAATTGTGTTTCACTCGATTTTTGTAAGATTTCGGACTCGCCCATCGCTAGCCAAACCAGCGTGTACCGCCCATCTAGGTCGAGAACACAACCAATGGCGGCGCATTACTCAAGTGGCAGCCTCGTAATAGTAAGGGAAGTGAAAGGCAGTCCCCCGTTATAAAAAGTGATGATCTGGTAAGATACGCAGTGATACAGAGGATGCAATTGTTTTTTGTTGCATTCTGTATAGAATGTTCATGTTCAGCAGTAGGACTGTTGAAAGATGTTGATGATTAAGATTATTATTTTGTTAAATTCCTAATGCTGTGATTATTGTAAAAAACATGTAAAAGTAAAATTAATATCATGTTCTAGTACCAGCCAACCATCTCATCATGTCTGAACCGGACCCAAACAGACTTAGAAAAAGGCTACCATGATAGCCTCGTCATTGTGTTGGACACCCTTGAGATCTGTCTTAGCTCACAACCTAAGGATACCACTAAATATGATGAGGCGATGAATGTCAAGATACTTCTGAGGGAGGTCTGCCAGTTTATAGGTAAGTGTTTAGTTAAAGGATATATTTTGGTGCTTCATTTGCTTGGGATTTGTTGGATCAATTAGTTTCTGTTTAATTGGAAAGATAATATGAGGTTCAAGTAACCACACTTAGTCTGAAGTACTTTCAACCAAGGAAAAATAAGTGTAGCCGTGGAAGGAAAATGGGAGATCTCCCGCCGGGCAGTGTTCTGCCCGGGGAGCGGCCAGCACTCCATGTGATAGTTCGGAGATGTTCTATATATACTGTTTATGATTCGGAATGTTGATAGCGTGATTTAAGGTTTCGGTGTGTTTCGCTTGTGGAGCGACTACAGCGCCGCCACATCACCCCCCTGCTCAGATCGGAGGTCGGTAGTGCAGCCTCGTTGCCGACGAATGTGCAAATGTCAGGAGATTGCCTTGTAGTCTGCGGTGAGTCGAGAAGAAGGCAAGTAATCTGCGAGAGTGCCGTGAAGCAGAGACAAGCAGTAAGGCTCAGAGCCGTGCCGAACACTGTATAGCGCAGAGAGTAGCTTGAAGGAACAGGAAGCATTATTATTCCAGTGCTGCGATGAACCTTGTGAAGCTAGATGGCTTGCAGGATATGAAGACTGCAGACGATATCGGCTCGGGAGCGAATGGGTGAGGTATTCTATGACGATGATGAAGCTTGAAGTTTCCGAAGGTTGTTTGTTTGCGTGTTCAGATCACGTCGGTTAGTCACCACTGTAGCCGTGGAAGGAAAATGGGAGATCTCCCGCCGGGCAAGGTGTTCTGCCCGGGGAGCGGCCAGCACTCCATGTGATAGTTCGGAGATGTTCTATATATACTGTTTATGATTCGGAATGTTGATAGCGTGATTTAGGTTTCGGTGTGTTTCGCTTGTGGCGCGACTACAGCGCCGCCACATAAGTTTCGGTTAATGGGTCACATGACCTCTAGAAGTGTGGGATCAGATGATCAGTTTTAGTACTTTGTCTTGTATTGACCCTATTAGAGTATTTCTATCTCACGATGGAAGGGTTGGTTTTAGTTGTAGTGTAGGTGTACATGCACAATTTTAGCGTAATGAATATAAAATTATTGTCAAATACCCTCAAAAAGAAATATAAATGGAGAAAACTTGTTTACAGTGATGAAGAAAATTGTAAATGCGTCTTTCTCTAAGCACCAGAGTAAGGTTGAGAAGTTTTCCTCCTCGCACAACTTTCTTGTGGAATTGGCTACCACCCGCCAATTTTACTGGTCCGATACGACTTGGGGATCCTCAAGAAAACAGCTTACTCTTTTTAAAAGGCCGGCAATGCATCTGCAATTCCCCTAGTGTTACAGTTGTTCATGGGCGACGGTAGTCACTTATCATCAGTTAGCCGCATGCTCGTTTGCCCCATCTCATATAAAAAAAGGCTCGCCCGCCTTAGTGAGATAACCATCTATAACAAATGTTATTTGACAATGCACTTTGTCATATGGAGAAATTTCGTAGTAGGATTTATGTTCTAACTTCTGTACTGATTTAGAGATATTTTTGATGAGATGTCGTATCGGACCAGTAAAACTTCACAACTTGCCACAACAGATCCAGAGATCGTGCCGATTTCAACGCCCATCACGCTAAATCGCTTCTTGTACTTCCGATCATGCAGGGAGATCTGTTTACCTCTATCTAGCTATATGGTCATATGGTCGACACAACTGGTCATTTTACTTTGCCTACGTGAATTCCAGATGTGGAAGATCAAGCACTGTCCATGTTAGACCTTCTGCTGACTTCACATACGGACGGATAAATGATCTCTGTTAATGCCTTTTTGGCTCTTCGGATCACTGCTTCATTCGTTTGGTTTCTCATTTAAGCCATATGATTAAATATGATAGTAAATAAATATTCTAAAATAAATGAAATATTTTGCTTACTAAGCACACATTTTGTAGTGATGAACTATCAGTACCAAAATTGACAAACTCTATAGTGAGTTGCTAGTTGTTACTTACCTACCTACTAATATTATAAACGCGAAAGTTTGTAAGTATGGATGGATGGATGTTTGTTACTGTTTCACGTAAAAACTACTGAACGGATTTAGATGAAATGTTACAGTAATATAATTTATACGTCAGAATAATACAAAGGCTACAATTTATAAAGATTTTGTGTAATTTGGCCATAATAATATAACGATAAGTATCAAGTAAGTCGGAAAAATTCCTACCCTCTGAGAGCTATCTTGGCGTGCGCTGCCTAAACCGTTGTAGTTACACGAAGATAATATACCGTGGGATTGTTTGTCTTAAGTAGTTCTAAATGAAAGTCCACGACAGCATATATCTACCTTTTACGTGGAAGCCTTTATTTCCAAAATTGTGAGCCATAAATACAATAAAATTTGATACTTATTCACAATGCACATTTTAGAGTATTTATCAAATTATTATCAAAATTGATACATTTGTCGCTTTCAATATTTAATGTAGATGAACTTTTTCTTTTACACAAAGTAATTTGGATGAATAGTTTAAAAGTTATCACGATAAGATTGACATGAATGGAGCACCAGCGCAAAGCGGGGGTGGAGGAACCGTTGAATGTCGTCTACAATGTCCTGTGGGACAATGCAGGTATCGGGCCTCGGGGTAACCCCCATTGCCCGGGTGTCCTCATATCCCATTACTATGGGACAGTCCTTTAGCCTATTTTAGGCTCGATAGCATACACGGGTTTTTTCCGTGGTGGCAGTAAGTTGTTTTTCCGTAGTTATCCAACTACGGAAAAAGGTGGTTATTTGGTAAGTCTGAGTTGGCCTTTCTGCGGCATTGTTACTCAACTCTCTAATCACATATAGAGAGGAGTTCTCTTGGAAGAGGTCGCCCGTCCGGTGGCCGGGTGTGTAACGGCGCAAAGCCGTTAAGGTGTTCGTGTGGCCCGTTATCGGCACGGTCGAACATGCCGCGCGCTAACCGGGCCACAAAGTCGGTGATGTTCTCGATTTTCAAGTCGGCCGCTATCACGTCGTTCCGGACGTAGCGACCTGCTCCGACGATCGTCCTTAATGTCAGATTCTGCTGGGCCTGCAGTCGCCGCCTCAGAGGGTCGCTCAGAAGTGCGTACCAGGCCGGTGCAGCGTAGGTGATGATGGTCCGGATATACATCTTGTATATCCGGAGCTTGGTTCGTATGGGCAGCTTGGATGCCAGGACCGGCAAGAGCGTCGCCCGCGCACCATCGGGCCCGGCGGACGACGAAGTCGACGTGCGCGGTCATGCGCAGCTTCCTGTCGATCCTGCACTCAAGGTAGGTTACAGCCTTCTGGTATGCAATCTTCTGGCCGTTGAGGGTCAGCGGAGGTGGAAACTTCCTGAGACGGCGAGTGAGCAGAGCGGTCGTCTTACCAACGTTGACGACCATCCTTCACTCATCCAGCCATGGTGGCAGCAGGTCCAGCGGACGCTGCATCTTGGCAGTGGCTATGTGGGCTCTTCTGGACGAGGTGAAATAGGCGCTATCGTCCGCGAATAGCGCCAGCTCAACGTCGTCCTCCCACTCTTGAAGCCTGCCTGCCAGTGTAGGTATATCATTGGTGTAAGCCGCGTACAGGACTGGCGACAAACAGCTGCCCTGTGGGACGCCGGCTTTAATGGTTCTTGTTGCGGATTCGGCGTCCTCTACGCAGACGTAGAACTTCCTGTCTTCCAGGAAAGACGCTATTAACCGCAATATAGCAAGAGGGACACTGGTCTGTTCTTTCAGTTTATATAATAATCCTGCGTGCCACACCCGGTCGAACGCCTTCTCGATATCGAGAAAGACGCCCAACGATATGCGGCCACGATTGTACTCTGCCGCAAGCAGGTGCAGCACTCTAGTCAGCTGTGTGACTGTGGAGTGACCCCTCCTGAATCCGTGCTGCTCCGCCCGAAGTTGGATGCACGGACGGAGACGTCTTAGCAGCAGTCTTTCAAACAGTTTAGCTATATGTGGTAATAGCGTGATCGGCCTGTAGTTGGCGGCTCTACGCCTGTCCTTCCCGGGTTTCGGCAAGACGATGACTTTGTCTTTTTTCCAGTCCTCCGGGAAGTGGGATGTCCGCAGTATCCCATTGTATAGTCGACCAAGCTCTACTATGACTCTATTGGGCAGCTGTCGGAGTGCAGCGTTGGTAATCCCGTCGTGCCCCCGGCGCCTTCCTCGGTTGCAGGCAGGTTACTGTCCTCCGCAACTCTGCGGGGGGAGATGAACCAGTCTCCTGCAAGAGGCGGCGCGGGCGACGACAGGAACTCCTGTACGCGACTTTCCTTCCGGGCATGAAGCTCCATAAACTCCGCACTTGCTGTATTCGGCATAAATTGCTCCTCGAAGTGCTCGACTAGGATATCCGCTCTGGCCTTGGCATCGTAGCATCGTTTGCCCGTATTGTCAGTCAGCGGGCAAACGGGAGGTTTGGATTTGGTCAACTGCCGGTTCAGTTTGTAGAGCGACGCATCATGCTCTTCCGCCTTCTGGATGCGCCGATCCCAGGCCTCTCCTCAGAAGGCCTGAACTGCAACCGACAGTTCCTCCGATAAGGTGTTCAGCTGTGTCTTAATTCTGGGACAGCGAGTACGCGCCCAGAGCTTTCTCAGCGCCCTTTTGCGCTTGATCTGCACGCATATCTCACGCGGCAGATCGTCTCGCCTTGCTGTAATCGGGACGACCGTAGAAGCTGCGTGGAGGGCTTCCTTGATGTTGTTGGTAATTCTGGTGGCAGCGGCCTCAACGTCGTCCGCTGTGCTTATAGGATGGTGTGCTGGAGGTCTCTGCTGAAGGTGTTGACAGTAGAGCCTCCAGTCGACACGGGTATTTAAAAGCTCTAGGCGGCGTAGTCACTGCCTTTAGGCCAAGGGTTATCAGTAACGGGAGGTGCTGTGTAGGAAGGTCGTACAGCACTTCTACCACTATCGGATAGTTGACGTTCCTAGTGAGCACGATGTCTAATACATCCGGATGCCTCCGTGGGTCAGTGGGAACGTGAGTTGGTTCCTCGGGACCTAGAACGTCGTACTGGTTCTTTTCTGCGTCTTCGTATAGCTCAAGACCCGGCGGGGTGATCACTCTGGACCCCCACGCCGGGTGTTTGGCGTTCAGGTCCCCGGCGATGATTGTAGGTGTATCGTCTTCCATCACCGTCCGGATGTCTGAGGAGCAGAATGGAGTCCCTGGCGGGCGGTATGCTGCATATATCCTTAGTTCCTCGCCCGCCGCCTCCATTCTTATGCCGATTGAGCGCATTGTCTGGTAGGATGGTAGTTCCAGCTCTTGGTGGACGATGTCCCTCCTCACTAGAACCGCCGTCCCTCTGTAGGCGGCCCCTTGAGAAGTGACCTGGTCCCTTCTGTAGATATGGAAGTTTGGCAGCTTTATTTGCGTCTTTGGATTCAATATTGTTTCGCCCAGCAGTATGATATGTATGTCCTGTTGCTGGGCGACAGTGCGGAGTTCATGCAGCTTCTGCCGTATACCGTCCGGGTTCCAGTACATTAGGCGCAGGTTATTCTCCTCCATAGTGCCTGGCCAGGAGGTTTGCCAGCGCCTTCATGATCGCTGTTACGGGGTCAGTCCCGGCTCTTATATCGGCCAGGACTTGCGTGCCGACCTCGATGGCAATGCCAACTAAGCGCTGGATTGCTGTTTCGAGGCCGGCAGTCGGTGGTCTCCTATATGAAGGCGTTGGCACTGGTCTCGGGGGTGGAGGAACGGTCCAAGCAATGACGCGCGATCGCCGAGTGCGCAACCCGAACGCGAACAGACGCGGAGGGCAGACGTCGTTGACGGTTATGTTCAGTTTGCATCCTTTCTTACAGCTAATTCGATTCTCGAAGAGATTTATTATTTAGTACAGTAGGTAGGCATAATTACTATTTTTAATAAGTATAATTTAAGTAGACATATAAATTACTTTTTATTTTAATTTCAGTTGTATTACAATTGTTTTATTTTTGTTTATTTAGTGAAATAATGTAATTTGTATGACTTGACAGACATGCGCAACGAGAGCAACGTGAGCAACACGTTACTGAGACAACTAGCCAGTAAAGTACTTTTCGCATTAAGCCTCAACTTCTTCAATGCGGTCTTCAACAGGATAAGCGCACGATTACAGGTTTGCTGTTTATTATTTAAAATAGAATATTTTGAACTTCCAATTAATAAACATTTTAAAAAAAATAGGCATTAAGGGGATATAGTAACTCAGCTCAAATTCTAATTTCGCCCCCACTTCCCCGCGCGTCGTATGCTATATACCAACATGTTTGTACTCACTAATACTGTAAGTAAATAGGTCGTTACATACTGATTTCATTAGGTTTATCATATTTATGCCTGTTTCTTTACGCCAACCCAGGCGCTTCTTATTTTTATTATGGTTATTTCCCATTTTAATTTTACGTCGTCCTGTTGCGTAATGTGTATTCTGGAAACTAGTATCATTAGAACACAAGTTTCCCGTTCAAAAGCCGAAGCGAGACTAACCGAGCGGCAGGAAACAAGCTTCAAGACGCCGATAGTTTAGGTAATTTCTTTTTACAGTGAAAATAATGGTAATTAAAAAAAATTAAAACATAAGCCCTGCTTTATAGTTAGTTCAGTTAGTATGCAAAGTTTCATAATCTAATTTAAAGTATTTTATGAATAACAGCGGTTTATTGTTCAGTTTGGAGGTAACTTTCGACTTATTTTCTACCGAGAAAATTTTACAGAATCGTGTTTTCGTCTAATATAGTACTTAACATTAATCCTCAACTTTACCATGTATTTATTTCAAAATTAATGCTGCAATATTTTCGCCATAACGGAGGACCTAGTAGGAGATAGTATTTTTAATATTTCCCCCTTTTTTATTAAGTACGAGCAGCTATGCAGGTCTAGGGAAAGATACCAGTAAAATATTTCCCCTTAACGGTGTTATTTATAAGGGAAGATTTGCATTAATACTCACAAAACTACATTGCTAGATGTTTGGCATCTTATGTTGGTTTTTGGTTATAGCGTCTGAGTTTGTACGCAAGCATAGATGCTCTCTCTATTCCTCCACTCTTTTATAGTGTACGATGGGACGACAATCCGACACCACCAGTTGGCTTTACGTGCTTAGCGAGGCTCGGGTTAAACTCACCCGAAAGATTGCACTGCTTGTCCTAAAAATGCATTTCTGAGGGTATAGGGAGGGAGGGAGGGAGCACATCATTTGAACTCCATAATGCGTTGGTAAACTGCATTAGAATGTCCGTGATCATACTTAAATATCATGTTTCTACACCAATTAACTCGAGCCCAGTTTTGTTCTGGGGTGATTTCATGAGGAATCCAGCAACAATAAAATTTCCCTATTTAAAACTACAACAAAGATATTATATAAGACGTGCATCATCAATCTGTGTCAATCAATATATTATAACCTAATTATTCACTTCTAAAATATCCAGCATCGCCATCAAGCCAAAAATGGATCTTTATCCACTGACCATTTTATACTCTGATCTGAGTGTCTAAACTTGACTATAAGAATTTTATTTCAGTTTCTAGATTCTGAGTACTCGTCCTGTTTTTGCCTTAGACATGGCGGCGTGGGGCGTTCCTTTGGCTTGATTATTTTTAAGATATCTTACTGTTGAACTTTTCATAACACAACATAAACTCCCACGCCTGTCACCTAAAGGGGTAGGCAGAGACTACGGACTTCCATTTGGTACGATTCTGACATAGTTCTCAGTTCTCACTTCTTTCACATCTATGTATTTACGCATGCGTGCGTCAATTACGGTTACTCTTAACTTGGCCGGGCTTCAATAAATCGACAATTTGGTGGATAAACTCCCGTCTTGGATATCCCGTGGAATTTGTCATTATGGTCACAATCAGTCAAGAAGAAATATTATTATTCGTTTTTAAAATATTTACATAATATCCAATGCATAATAGTTATTATAGAGTGCAATTATCACTCGGATCGGGTTTTACCCAAAATTGATCACTTTATCCCTTTTTTACAGGAACTAGCATCTAGCTCAGAAGAAAACCCCGATTATACAGATATAGAATTAATACAACATATAAATGTGGATATATTAAGGCTTATACGGCTGCTAACAGGTAATATTTTTAATTTTTAATGAAGATATAAAAATCACTCGCCAGTTCATTAAATACACTCTTTGAACACATGAAAATCATACGCGTCAATTTTTCATTCATTAATTGCAGCCTATTAAATATCTACTACTGAACATATGCCTCCTTCATAGATTGGCATCATGGCGTATTTGCCGCGTTTTAGCAGGCGACTCGACAACCGGTACCATTTTAGTAAAAATATTATAATGAGACAAAGTGTCTAAAGTTGCTTTATAATAGCGCCCAAACCGAGGGGATCATGTCATAGGCGCAGTTAATTCTGATAAAATGTGTATACTACTACTCAATAATAAAATTACGGAGCTACTGACATGTCTGTTTAATTTGTGTTTGACATAATAAAATGTTATGGTATTTTTTCCCTCAGCGGCATGGAATCTTGGCCAAGCGCTTATCTCACGATAGCAAAAATTAAGTGTTTCTGATGAATGTTTGTTATGCAGGTATGTCAAAAAATGTTACCCTCAAGTCCAAGAGGGTAATTCATTATCTTTAAGTGCACCATGATGAATTCTTTAATTTTTAGTTGAATCGGGTCATTTGAGCGACTAAGTTCACATTTTAAATTTGTGTGTTGTGAAAAGTTTACTGTCAGGTTATTCAATTATTGTGATCTGTGTCTTAATTCAATAACTAAAGGTGCTTTAAAACCAATAAAAATGCCATTAGCACCAGAACAAGTTGCACAAGCAGTAGCATTAATTGACTAAGCATTAATTGACACAGCGTGAAGTTACTATTGTGCTTAACATACCATAGTCCTCAATGCAGTATGCACTGAAACGATACCAGGAGACAGGCCGCTACACCCGCAGGCCAGGCAGTGGAGGCGTAAGGTGCACATCGGCCCGGGACGATCTTTTTATTGTTCTGGAGATTTTGAGAAACCTCTACCTGACCACTGTTGAGATACGCCAGCGGCTCCAAATCACAAAAGGCGTTAGTGTTAGTGAGCGTACGGTGAGAAGACGAATGGAGGAAATGAATTCAAAAGCTCGTAGACCAGCACGAGGTCCAGAACTTCTCAGACAGTACCGAGTAGCCCAAATTCAGTTTGCAAGAGAATATGTCGATTGGACCCACGAGCAATGGCTAGAGTGTTGTTCACAGATGAGTGTTGAATAGCTTTATGTGCTCCAGACGGTCGAGAAGTAGTGTGGAAAAAAGAAGAGAGAGGTTTCTACCCATTACCACCACGCAAATTGTGAGTTTCCATATGGTATGGGGAGGTGTAAGTTCTGACGCACGTACAGAGTTAGTCATCGTCGGTAATCGGTTTACAGCTACTCGGTACATCGAGGAAGTTCTTCAGGAGCACGTAATACCTTATTCGGGGTTTGTTGGACACAACCAATTCCTCCTCGAGCACGATAATGCACGCCCACACGTCGTACATTGTGTAGAGGAATATCTGGAAGAGATGGAATGCAAAAATTACTGTGGCCAGCTCGCTCAAAAGAAAGATAAAGTCCAGCTCCAAACTGCCGTAACCGACAGACACCGTAATTGAGCTCCGAAATGCAGCGCTGGCCGCTTGGAACGGCATACCGCAAGTTGATGTCAGAAACATCATTCAAAGCATGGCAAATTGAATGCAAGCGGTTATCAGGGCTAGAAGAGGAAACACCCGATATTAAAACTGATAGACAATAAGAAACAGACTTTATTTTTAACTTTGTTGTGTTTTTAAAGTGACAATGGAAAGATGTTAATTTTAATGATTTCTTAAATTTACGCGAGCACTACACATTGAATAAAACTATTATTTATGGATTTTATCGCGTTTAATTCAACTTTAATTTATTTTTATTATCCCGACGTTTCGGGTGCTTTACAGCACCCCGACAAGCCGACCCGAAAGCGTCGGGCAGCACCCATCCATCTTCTCTATTGAAAGGGGACAATCATTTTTGGGCCCACTAAAAATATTAACGTCACTTAATGGTATTACATCAAAAAAAAGACACCAAATTATAATAGTAAATGGCCTACAGATTTTTCAAAAATGTAAACGGAATCAAGAAATATGAAAAAAAATTAGTTGTTTTGATATTCGTGTTCTTCGTTTCGTGTATTTTTTCACAAAGCTGACTTAAAAAAGATACCACTAAGAACTTTATGTTTAATTTCTAAAAATTTTAGCTAATATCACGTTATAACATAGTTCTAAATGACTGTGAACCAAAACGTTATTTTATCATTGACTTCCGGTAATTCCCAGCGGCCGGCGGCCGGGTACGGCGGGGCGGGGCGGCGGGGTATTACCTACGTCTTTAATCTTAACGGCATTGACGTTCGTCACGCTACTGTTTTTTTGTATTTATATGCGATTTTAAGAAAATGGAATCTGCTAGATCAGTATACAATGAAAATAGAAGTGTATGTTGCAATTGTGGAGTCAGGTTTCAACGCAGTGTGCGAAGACAATTACTGGCCGAGACAACTGCCGATGTGCGCCAACTTTTATCTGTGTGGATTTCTCATGAGGTAGGTATAATATTATCTCATGGAAAGCTAATGACTGCACTATACAATCTATCTACTTACATATTATCTAGATTTAAACTTTATGAGAAATATATATTATTTTTGTTACTCTCGATTTTATTCCAACAATATTACTATACTGCGGAAACGAAAATTACATATTTTCTTTATTAATGTATTACTTAATATTTTTATTTTTGTTGAATAATATGGGATATGGTACGATTTTTTAGAAATAATACGAAAGAAAACGATCCACAGACTCCAGGCACACATAACGATCTATACATGATTAAGTACTTAATTATTTTAAGTTTTTAAAAGTAATAATAAATATCCCTTCATATTATTAATAAATTCATACCTTCTATAGCTATAATTTTAATCTTTCGTTATATTAAATTGATAAATGATATATTGATTAAATTATTTTACATTTTGACACAAGATGACACTGCATTCTTTCCTGCTATTTACCAACTTACAGGCATAGTTCTTTGCATTGACTCCATTGACTGGCATTGACTGTAAGAAAAAAGTCTGTTGTTTCAAACTATTTGGTAGAAAAAATATAATATGGTATAAACTTGTTTGTTTAAATTGTTGTAAACTGTGTTCGTGTTAAAGTAAAAGTTTAAAAATGAAAATTCACGTAGTTTTACTGCTTACAAGTGGATTAGTATGTTAATGTCTAATTGATGCAAAAAATGTTTAACCTAAGGGTTATATCATGCACGTAAGTCAAATATTAAATACCTATATCACATTTATGTATATAATTTGCCAATGACATTCGAAAATGCAAACTGACGAGTAAAAGTCCATGTGAGTAATATAAAAGTTTATTTTTTCCTCCTAGTATTTTGTAAAATCTATAACTTATAGTGAATTAACCTTTAACAAATGATAAACACAGGTACTAATGTGTTAAATGTTAAAGTATTGAAGTTTTATGTTATTAGTGAAATCTAATTTAAATAATAGATAAAATAAAGTCACACAATATACACAAAAGAAGTTTTTGTGGCATGGTATGATGTATCACATGTTATGTGTGTCTAATTATCTTTTGTCAGTCAATCAGAAATCAAAGTCGAAAAAGTATAGGTATATATGTGTCAATATTTATTCACGATAAAATATTATGTAAATAGAAAAGTAAGTTATTTTGTGCAATGAAAAATATTTCAATCCACTGTAATATTACCGTTACAGCCAATTAAACTCCACTGCCGAACATAGGCCTCCCCCATATATTACTAATATTACACAACTCCATAATACTCTAATATTATAAAGTTTATTTATCACTATATGATATACCTGAAATACTGTAAATATTGTAAAATCATAATATATTAATCGATATTTGTTTTTTGGATTTCCAATTTTTTTTAATTGAAAATGTATTGTATTTCAAATAATATAGGGTTCCACATCAAACATTCACTTTCATGCCAACTTCGCTTCCCTCCTCAAAATGTACATTTATCTGAACTTAATATTTATTTACTCTTTTATTTTTAATTCCTGATTTTTTCAGTTACACCCACTTGATGCAGTTTGTTGTAACTGCCTAAGAATATTGCAAGAAAGTGTTGCATCTGCTCACTCCATTAGAAGATTTGGGTACAGGAATATTTGTATTCCATGTGGATCTTCAATTTTAAGAGCACACCGTAGACGGATTGTGCCTATTAACTCTGAAGAAAGAGATATTATTTTGCAGTGGATACCATCACACCAGGTACTTACTTTATTTTAAAAGGCTGTAAATGGTCCCCTGCCTCAAATAGGCAGCCCAGAGGATTTGCCACAATCGCTTTGGTACACAGATTGATGTTTGTAAAATCAGACACCTTGCATACAATTTGGTCTGATATTTATGCTCATCAACATGGCAGTTCACTAACAGGTTATCTTTAAATTTACAGTCTACCAAAAGTCTACTGCTGAACATAGAACTCCCCATAGATTGTCTTATGGGGGGATATTTGCCATTAATAACCACTTTTTTATTTTTAGTTATTAGATGAACGATACTTCTTCCTTATCTTACACCCATATTTGTATGCTTTTGTACTTATTATACAAGTAATATTTTTTACCTTAAAAGACATTAGTATAAATAAAACGGGTTGGGTTTACAATTCGGTCGCCTCAATTTGAAGATTCTGTTACTGTGGGGGGCGTCAAGGGAGTTTATCTGAAGCACCTACACGCGAGTTTTGCTACCGGAGCAGCATCGAAGTATTTTTATTTATTTTTTGAAAATATTGGTAAACAACTAATTAATTAAATATTCTCACGTTTTTGACGTTTCATCTGTCAATGTCATATCAATATATAGTACTAAATCGATCTAGTGAATCGATATTTCACCCTAGAGAATCAAGATCAAATCTTTTCTGTTTTGTTAAGATTTACAAAATTATTTATAATTAGTTGAAAGTACCCCAACTCGTAAAGAA